ATGCCCACATCATGCTTCCAATACAGTCTGCAGAACCATAAGCCAATTAAACTTCTTTTTTAAAATAAATTATTTCTTTATAACAACACAAGAACAGCCTAACACAGCCCCTGACACCACAACTGATAGTTTATGATAACAAGACAATGCAGGGTGGAGCTGGCCACACTTGGTAGCCTAGGTGTGTTTAGAGGTTGGGGGCTTTGGATAATCTGAATACCAATTCACCTAGAGACTGAGTAAAACCTCATAGGCAATACTTCATGCATATTGTTAAACATCCATACATCTATATTGTTACACATCTATGCATAGGGTTGTACATCCTTAGAAAGCTAACAAGTCCTGAGGAAAAGTTTCACATTTCAAGTGCTCCAAGACTCGGTCTTATTACATAAGTATAGTGTGGGGGTGATACGGTTTGGCTGTGTCCCCACCCAAATCCCACCTTGCACTGTAACTCCTACAATTCGCACGTTGTGTGAGGAACCTGGCGGGAGGTGACTGAATTACAGGGGCGTGTCTTTCCTGCACTGTTCTTGTGGTAGTGAATGAGTCTCACAAGACCCAGTGGTTTTAAAACTGGGAGTTTCCCTGCACAAGTTCTCTCTTTGCATGCTGCTATCCATGTAAGACATGACTTGCTCCTCCTGGCCTTCCGCTGCCATGATTGTGAGGATTCCCCAGACATGTGGAACTGTAAATCTATTAAACCTTTTTTCTGTATAAATTGCCCAGTTTCAGGTATGTCTTTATCAGCAGCGTGAAAACGAACTAATACAGTAAACTGGTACTCACAGAGTGGGGTGCTGCTGAAAAGACACCTGAAAATGTGGAAGCCACTTTGAAACTGGGTAACAGCAGAGGTTGGAGCAGTTTGGAGGGCTCAGATGTCGAAAGGAAAATGAGGGAAAGTTTGGAATTTCCTAGAGACTTGTTGAATGGCTTTGATGAAAATGCTGACAGTGATATGAACAATAAGATCCAGGCTGAGGTGGTCTCAGATAGAGATGAGTAACTTGTTGGGAACTGGAGCAAAGGTGACTCTTGTTATGTTTTAGCAGACAGACTGCAGCATTTTGTCCCTGCCCTAGAGATGAGTGGAACTTTGAACTTGAGAGGGATGATTTAGGATATCTGGCGGAAGTAACAGATTTAACACAGGTGACTTGTGTGCTTTTTTTTTTTTTTTTTTTTTTTTTTTTTTTTTTTTTTT